ACACACACATACACACACACACACACACACACACACGCAGTTCAACCAAAAGAAATAGGTACCTTGGTTGTTTAGCGCTAAGACAGGGTTCTGACATTAAGAATTAATGGCAGGACACTAAAAAGAAGGCTCACACATCTACTTCTGAGAGCCCCAGAGCTACCTCAGTTCATGACCTTCCCAGGCTCTACTTGCTTAAATATCTTTTGAAGTCTGTAAAATTACTAGGATATTTATGATTATTAACTCCACTACCTTTCCTCCCTTAAGCTAGTCATAGTCACAGACTATATTTCAACCAAAATAATCTTAATGCACATAACTATTTAGAAACTACAGATGTTTCTGCATGTCTAGAGCTAGGTACATGGTAAATGCATTATCATTTGTCAAGCAAAAGCCTAATGCTCTGGGTGTTGCACATTCCAGGGACCTTGTAGCCACGTGCTGTCTAATTGAGAAAAGCAGGTACTTTCTGCCCTTCCTATATCTCATCCCTCACATTTTGGTTGTACATAAAAGAGGTCGGAAGGATATGAAGCTAGAGATTACCACTCCCTAGAAATAAAAGGGTTTTCAGTTACCAATTCAGAGAGATTGGGGAACCTAAGATCAGCATCTCCAACAGGAAGAAGACTGTAACTCCAGTAAAGCATCCACATGCCTAAGAGTGCTACTTCATGAAAGCTTTCCCAGATGTGAATCCTTATCCAAAGTAGAAGGCCCTGTGTGTCAGGAAAAGGGCCTGAGGTCAGGAAAGAAGACCTCAAGGAACAATGTCCCAGTCTGGAAAAAAGGAGGACCTAGAAAGAGATAGACACTAGAAGGACACAGTAGCTAAAGGAAAGTTTTGTGAGTAGGAGGTGAAAATAACTCAGGAAATTGGTCCTAAACTAAAAATGAGCCTTTGGATGATTGCAAAAAGACTCCAGTGGGGGTAACAAGCAGCTACTCATGGGAGAAAGGCATAAGATAATGCTGAAAAATTAAGGAGTGCAAGGGCCCTTACATAGAATACTTAGGAATTTGGAGATTGACACATTTAAAGCAGGAAAGTGACATAATCTATTTTGTGATTTATATATCCTTTGACTTTTACAAAGTAAAGGATATTAAAGGGGCAAAAATGAGAGCAAGAAGACTACTTCAGTAGGCAAAGTGTTGGGACTAAAGTGTCAACAGTTGGGATGGAGAAATGTGGAGAGCTATCTAGACAGTGTATACTGAGATAGTATTTAGAAGTAGAATTTATAGAGAATGGTAGAAAATTAGATTCTGATGGATGAAGAAGGAAAAATCAGGTTTTTTGTTTTTAGTTTGGCTTAGATGACAGTAGATGATGGTACTATTCACTGAGATAAAAACAGAAAGAGGGAAGGTAATGAGTTCTGTTTTAACTACTTTGATTTTGTGGTGCCCAAAGGATATCTAGGTTGTGATATCAGGTAGGCAGATGTATATAACAGAATGGAGCTTAGTGGAAAGGTCTGGGAGCTAGCATTTTCCAAATAGTATTTGAAGTCATGGACAATTGCAGAGGCTAAATATATTTATAATTATATGCATAAAATATAAAGGTATACATAAAATTATGGAATAAAATTTTAAGGAACAATTAAAAGTATTTCGATATAGAAGAGGCAAGTAACAAAATAATAGAGGAGAGCAAATCTATTCTAGAGGAGATACACCAGCAAGACGGCACAGTAGGAAATACCAGCCCTCGTCCTCCCACAAAATAAAACAACAATTAGATAGCTATTTATGAAACAAAAGAGGCCTTAGAGGACTCAAGAATACAATTAAGAAAAAATAAGCATGCAGAAAGGATTGCTGGAGAGAACACCATAGTGGAGATGTTTGAAGACAGCTAGGAACAAAAGTGGGCAGAGGCTATCTGTATCACCCATGCAGGGGATCACATGGTAGTCCCCAATGGCCTGCTCTGTGGAGG